GGGTGCATTACCCCGGACTGCAAACTTGCTACCGTACAAAAGCAACATCTTGAAAAGCCGGAATAACGGCTACTTTGAAGGTGCTTGTACATAGCTTGACAGCACAACGACTTTGATGGCTTACTCTCGAAGCCCAGCCGGCAGCCGGCAATACACGTCTCACCCCTGTTAATGTTTCGTTTCTTTTTCTGTTTTCCCCGCAATAGCCGGGTGAAAACCACGACGGGCTGGACCCAACTGAACAGTCGCTCCCTGCTCGCGGGCTGGGGGGGGGCTGACCGAAAGCGTGAGCGGAACCGCCGGAGCATCCGCGGCTCGTTGCGGGGCTCTATGGACATCATGCTTTTACACTAGTACGCTTGCGCCTGTGGTCAGCCGGTCATAAGCGGACTGCCTCTCCAGCATGCGCAGGGCGCGCTGCTGCTCTCTTGTGAGCTGAGGCGCCTCCGGTTCAGCCGGCGCCGGTGCCTCAGCCGGTGCCTCAGCCGGTGCCTCAACCGGTGCTGGTGCCTCCGCCGGCGCCGTCTCAAGCGGGGGCGGCTTTGGCTTGCGCTTTGGAGCAGCCGGCTCAGTAGGCACGTCCTGCTTCGGTTTGTTCTTGCTCCCAGGGGGCCTGCCCCGCCGTTTCGGTTCCGGCGCAGCGTCCTGCGCAGCGTGTGGCGCCTCTGGTGCCTCTGGCGCCTCTTGCGCCTCTTGCGCCTCCGGCGCCCTGTCGTGTTCGGTCGGCTCCATCCTTTTTAATTATACGTGGTCAAGATATAACACGAACGACAAAGACGACCCGCGAAGCCGGACGACGTTGCCGTCCAGGTCGGTCAGGCGGAAGCGCATGTGCCTCAGGGTAACCGGGCCCCTGAGGGCCATGAAGTGCCCGTCGTCTGAGCCCGTCTCCACAATGGTACCCACTCCGCTCTTCAGCGTGATCTTGGAGAGGATGTCGTCGCCCAGGTTGCCCAGCACTCTGCTGGCGTTGGCCAGCTGGGCGCAGCGCAGGTAGACCTCGTTGTGCGCCATCATCCGGACGAACTCAAAGACCTGCTGCCCGCCGGAGACAAAGCTCGGGCCCAGCATGTGGTCCACGCTGAAGGGCTTGGTGGGAGAGGCGGGCGGCGCAGCAGGGTAGTCCGCGGCATCAGGGAATTGCTGGCGCAGCTCCAGGTCGTTCAGGATGAGCCGGTTGCCGTCGTAGGCTACGCTCAGACTGTTCGTGGTCTCGCTATAGGTGGCGGTGGCAAAGTTGGAGCTGATCCAGGCGGCCAACCGGGCGCCAGTGTACGCGCCCTCGGGCAACAACGCCCAGTTCAGCGTGCCCAGCGCGGCGTCAACCCAGTAGAGGTAGCGGCCCCGGTCCGTGGACAAAAAGCTGTCGGCCAGGCGGATCTTGTAGACGGCGAGCCGGGCGTCGCTCTGCAAGTGCAGGGACTCTCCCAGGTCTACCTCAAAGTCGCTGTCCGAGCCGGCCACTCTCTTGCGGCTGTCCACGTAGATCGTGGTCATCCTTTTCTTTAGGAAGCCGCCCGTCCGGCGGACGACGGGCGGGTGGACGGCTGCGACGGAGGTGCAGCAGGAGATGTTCTCACACTTCGCGCTGATCAGCGTGGAGCTGGCGAACAGCTTCTGGCCCAGGAAGCTGAGCGCCGCTCCCATCGGCGTCTTTTTCAAGTGCGAAGCGCTCTTCGAAGCGTATGTGGAACATTTCGTTCTTCGGCTTCAGATAGTAGACGTGTGTTTGTCAACAACGTTGATTGCGCTTTATTCTCCAGGAGCCCATGCGCAAGGTTCATTGTTTATTTATAGAACAAAGGAACCGTCTCTCGAATTTTAGATACATGGTGCTTGCTCCATGTGAGTTTAACCTGTGACAGTTTGGCATGACTTGGTTGTGCTCATGCTGTGAACTGTTTCTATTCCTGAACCATATGGCTCAGGGTGGGATGTGGAGGGTCCCAGCTTAAGACAAGCTGGACTTTTAGAAATTTTTGGAGCCATGGGGGAGATGTAATGGTGAGTTTTCCCGATGGAGCAGACCAGGCGCTTGCAGATGCAGAGTTCGACAGGTTTATATCTGAGCAAGCAAGGCAAGCTCAAAGACGAGCACTGCCGCGGCTCCCCTGGGAAACTGGTGTCTTCAAGGACATATTCAGCATGCAAATGACAACAGGAATTTTGCCTGAGCCTGAGACACCTGGAGTGCCTCACTTGAACCCCTTCATGCAAGCAGAGCCGCTCAAAGATGTTAGAAAACGAGGTTTGAGCCCGGACAGGGATTTGCCAGTGTATGCAAGGTGCATCCGTGCCTTATCTGACAAGGATTATCACGACACGGTTGAAGTTGAATGGACACGGGCGTTGGCCCTCTGGCTCACGCTGATTGAGGGCAGCAACATGGAATCAGATGTTGGCGGATATGTAAAGCTCCACCTTCTTGCTGGCAACAATGGGCTCGCCATGGAGACGATCAGAGACGCTTGTGGTGTCAGATCTCAAAAGACAGTTTTGAAGAGAGCCCGAGATTTGGGCCGCTATGCGCAGTGGGAGCATGGCAACAAGCGATCCTGGTGGCCGGTGTACGAGCCCAATGTTTTGCAGTATTTGCGTGACGCAAACAAGAAACAGCAGTCGAAGTCTACTGGCAAAGACTTGTTGAGTGCATTCCGCTTTTTCAAGTTTATCTTGGGCGCACATTTCGAGATGAGTGTCTTTTCAACGGTGACCATTGGGCTTTCCAAGCGTGTTTTGTCACAACGAGCAGAACGCAAACAAGCGCGTCCATTGACAGTGGCGGAAGTTCAACGGCTTGAAGAACTTGTTGAAACTGCACCTACGTTGCTGGACAGGTACTTCGTTGGATGCTTGCTTTTTGCACTATATGCAAGATGCCGTTGGTCCGACTTGAGATATGTGGAGAACTTGGAGTTTGACATACTTGCCCGCAGCCATGACGTTTATGGCTTTGTTGAAAGCCGGACACGCATTCACAAGACAGGTGGACATGAGGAACGCAGGGCGATGGCAATGCCACTCGTGGCGCCACTGGTCGGGATCTCAACTAGCGCCTGGGGGTGCAAGTGGAAAGAGGCCATGGAAGCGATTGCATTTGATTTCACAAAGCAGCCATTGGGACCCATTTGCAAGGCGGTACACAGTTCAGGCGATTTTGGCAAGCGGTCCTTGACGAGTGAAGAGGCTGGCAAACTGTTAAATCAGTACTTGGGTATTTCGGGCACCGAGAGGGCTACCACGTCGCACAGTTTGAAAGCAACGCTACTTGCTTGGGCTGCTCGCATAGGGATGGATGACAACAGCAGGACCCTGCTGGGACATCACACACTGCGCCAGGACTCCTTGGCTTGTTACTCAAGAGACATGCTCAGCAAGCCAGTGCGCGAATTGTGCGAAATGCTTGCATCGATCAGGAGTAAGACTTTTGACCCGGATGCCACCCGATCAGGATGGCTTTCAAAGCAGCAAGCGGAACATGCCCAGCAGAATGAGGTTGTGACAGGCCCCAACGTCGAGACTGTTGACATCCCGGATATTTGTCAGTCGCCCGGGCCTCAACGCGCTGAAACCGAAGATGCACAGTCTGGGTGCATGGAAGGTTTTGACTTGATCTGTGATGGGTTTCCAGCATGCGTACAAGCAGGAAAGGCAGTTGGGCATGTTCCGTTAGATGAGTCGCAACCTCAAGATTTACAGGGAAGTGAGCCAGGCGACGACATTTCTTTGCTGTATGAACCAAGCGATCCCTTCGCCCAAGAACGCGGTAACATGGATCCAAGCCAGGAATTTGCAGGAGATGAGGCCGGTTCGTTTGCAGCAGGAGCAAATGTTGGAGATTTGCAGTTGCTGTTTTCTTCCGACAGTGAGACGTCGTCAAGCACCTCAGACGATGATGTTGATGAGGAGGTGCTCCGGAACTCACAGCCAGGCCCGTTGACCGATTCAGTTCCCCGGGCTATACCAGGGCACCTGGCTCAGAATATCAAAAGCAAGATGCTGCACCGTGTGAAAGCGGCAGACAATTGCATCATGTTGTGTGGAATCAAGATGAGTGCAGCGTTCAAAGACCTGCCCGCAGGATCTAGGTTCATGTGGCCCAGGTGCAGCAGGTGTTTTGCAGGGGAGCTGATTGACACCGTTGGTAAGATGGTGGAGCGCCTGGATGAGCTTAAGGCCAATCGAGCGTCGCAGGCTTCAAGTTCGGCAAAAAGCTGACTTGCAGTCAAAGTTTCGTGCCGTGCTGCAGAGGTTTGTTGCACAGCTGCAATGTCAGCTGAGCAGGCTCGAGGCCTTGCTAGAGGCATGGGCTCGGGCTCGATGCTATGCTTAAGGCAATGCGTCTGCTTGAGGCAGAGTCTACAGCTGAGAAAAACAAATGCTTGTCACCAGTCTGCGCAACTTGAGGTTGTAGGCAGTGCTTGAGGCATGAGGGTGCAAGCAATTTGTAGACTTGACATTTGATCCGTGTGTCAGCAGCAGCCTCAGATTCCACGTGCATGTAAGACATTTCTGCAGTTGCTTCCCTGTCTACTTTCTGCAATTGTGATTTCTGTTTGTTCTTTTTATTTTCATGCAAGCTGGTGGAAGGGCCCTGGCAGACACTGTTGGAGCAGCACTTGAAAGTTAGGAGGTGCCGCAGTAACGCGTGCAATGGCAGCGGTTTCAATTACTGACTCAACTGCCACGTTCAAAAGGCAGGCACTCAGACTAGGTCTTCCGGAAGACCTTGTATCCGCCCTTATAGACAATGGAGTGTCGACCTTGGGCGGCATCGCGTTTGCAGTGGTACCTCCTGGCACCGGAGCAACAGACGATCAAATCAAAGAATTTGCGCAGAGCATTGCCCCTTTGATTGTGTTGTCAATTGGAGAAGTTGCAGCTGTCAAACGGTTTATATTCGAAGCGCAAACTGCGCTCATTGGACAGTTGCGAGCTGAAGCTGACCCTTGTGCAGACCCTGCCAGCAGGAAGCTACCGCCCCCTGAAAGGGCCGCCAGGTGCGAAGAGCAAAAGCGCAGGCTGGCGGGCCTGGATCTTACAGGCCCTCTGGAAGTGGCACACTCAGTTTATGACTTGTTTGCAGGCATGTTGGAACAAGGCCAGCTGAAGTATGTACATCCTTGCAAGTGCATCACGAGAGCCCAAGAAGTTGGAGCAATCAAGCCACCGAAAGAGATTCGACTGGACACGTCCTCGAACGCACTGGTGGTTAAAGAAGCGACGCAGGATAAAGATTGCAGTACCGCCACCGACATGGAAGTGTGGCAAGCCTTGACCAGGCGATCTCTCGCAATGGATTGCATCGGAATTATGGACTTCCAGATTTCTCAGAAGTGGATACAATCTCTGTTCAGCATTTTGCAACAGCCGAGTGCCCCGGGGTTCAACAAAACCACCTTGACACAATTGCTCCGCACCGACCGGCAGGCTTATATGAGAATGGCTGAGCTTAGCCCCGATGGCGTCAAACCAACAGCTGCAGGCATCAGGCCGCTGGATGATCTTATGCAGAAGATGAGGGACGATGCCACTGTGATGTTCTACATGTTGCCAACTCTGATGACGGCAAGAGCTCACTACCCTGAGAAGGAGAACAAGAAACGCAAGGCTGATGCGGCGCCAGATTCATCTACGCCACAGCCTGCCCAGCAATGGTCGAAGAAGGGGAAAGGAAAGAAAGGCAAGGGCAAAGGAGCATGGAACTCAGGGAAGCTTCCGGAAAGGCTCAAAGGATGCACCGCCGTGAACGCTGAGAATGAGAGGATCTGTTTTGCGTACAACCTGGACGGATGTGACCAAGCAGCTCCGGGAGGAACATGCAGCCGTGGAAGGCACCAATGCTGCAAAAAGGGGTGTTTTCAGAACCACCCCCAACACGCTCACCAGACACACTGACTAAATCAGACCAGCGCAGAGGGTGGAGACGAACAGCGCACCACCCCCGCCGCACCGAATCCCTTTGCAACTTCAGGCGCTCTTGCAAACCAAAGCGCTCCAACAGAATTCAGGCAGGTAGCGGAAGAGATTTCCGCCCCTGGCTCCTTTGCGGCCATTGAGATTTGCTCGGGAACTGCAGGTCTGACAGCAGAGCTCAGACGACTGGGGGCCAAGCAGTCCTTTGGGATTGACAATACAATTAAGTCTGGCGCTAAAGCGCCTATTTGCAAGTTGGACATCACTGATGAAAATGCCCAAGGCATGATCAGGTCATGGGTGAAGTCGAAAACGGTTCAATATCTCCATTTTGGAGTGCCGTGCGGAACTTCAAGCAGAGCAAGAGAAATTCCAATCTCTGGAGGTGGCCCCCGGCCGCTCAGGTCAGAGGAGCACCCACAGGGGCTGCCATGGCTCACGCCACGAGAACGGCAGCGTGTCGACTCTGCCAATCAGATCTACGCATTTGCCGTTTCACTTATATTGCTGTGTGAGCAACTCAGCAAAGCATGGACACTGGAGCAGCCGTACAGATCGCTGTTTTGGTGGACCACCTTTTGGAACACAGTCGAACAGCATTGCAGCCCCATTTACATTGAGCTCCACCATTGCATGTTCGGCTCACAGCGCGCCAAGCACACTTGCATCGCCACCAACATGGCAGAATTACAGGCGATTTCCAAAACGTGCGATGGCCAGCATTTACACTTGGCATGGGGGCAGACACCTTTTGGTTTTGCAACCGCTGCAGAGGTCGCATACCCAAAACGTTTGTGCCAAGAATGGGCACAATGCGTCCTGCAGCACCTGGCCGCCAGATTCACTTTGCCGGTGCCCAAGTGTTTGCAATCGCCAGACAAAGCAGCCAGGGCCAGCGCAGGCCGCCAGACTAAACGGTCACCTGCTTTTATGCCTGATTACAATGAGGTCATGACGCTTCAATGTAGCGTCAAACCAGCAGTCGAGGCCAACACAACTCTTAAACAGCCTGTGGTGTGCAAATGCAATCCAGATGCTGTGCTGCCTGCTGGGTCTCATATTTTACGCCTCACTCGGCTGAACAGGGGGGTGATTGCAAGTGAGGCTGTGTTGGATGATGTGCAATCGGACTTCGACGCAGCGAATCCTCTTTTACCCGGTTGGGAAGTGGCTTTCGGTATGCCGTGGAGCTGTGATGGTTTCGTTGCAGAAGCAGTCCGGAGGGGCCACCCAGCCAACTTCTTTGATTCGCTTTCAGAATCTATGATGGAGGCGATACGGAAGAATGCGCTTTTAAAGCCAAGCCAGGTTGTGAGCTTTAGAGCGAACTGGTTCAAGAGGTGGACCGCTCGCGCACTTGAGCTGCGGGGCGAGGAAAAACGGCTGATGGACGCACTGCCGCCCCACAGAAGGAAAGTCTTGCAAGGGAAAAGACTTGTGCTGCTGAGAGAGATTTTGCAGGATGCAGGCTATCCAGATGTGAAGTTGGCGGAAGACATTGCCGCTGGGTTCGATCTTGTTGGCGAGACCGAGCGATCAGAGGCCATGCCGGACCACCTATTGCCTGCAACAATCTCGATTGACGAGTTGTTAGACACAGCCCCTGGTGCCAACAGGGGCATCTACCACTCCACCAAAAGCTGCGGTGATCCTCAGGTGGACGAGCAGCTATGGGAAAAAACGGCTAAAGAGCTGGCAGACGGTTGGCTGGTTGGCCCGTTACCCATCAGCTCGGTGGAATTGGAAGGGAGATTGTCTCGCCGGTTTCCCATCGTGCAGGGTGGGAAGGTGAGGCCTATAGACAACTATAGCGAGAGCCAGGTGAACGATGCCATTACAGTTGTCAACCGTGCCACTGTGGATGGGACAGATGTTCAAGCTGCTATGGCAGCGAGCCTCATCAGGGAGTTGGACAAAGCAGGTGCAAGCAAGTGCATCAAAGGCATGAGCTTTGACCTGACGTCGGCGTACAGGCAGCTGGCGGTTTCGGACAAGTCCCTGAGGTTTGCACGGGTATGTGTGTACAATCCAAAGGAGGGGGTCGCGCAGTGCTACCAGCAGCACACACTCCCTTTTGGTGCCAGAGCAAGCGTAGTGGCCTTTATACGCTGTGCACGCATGCTGCAGTGGTTGGGGCACCAACTCCTTCTCATCGTTTCCTGTTTCTTTGATGACTATGTGTTGCTCTCGCCCGAGGTTACCAGCTGCAATGCGGAGCTGTCTTTTTCGACACTATTGGACTTGCTTGGCTGGCGATACGACAAAACGGGCGACAAGAGCGACACCATGACTCAGGTGGTGCGGTCGCTCGGAGTGGAGCTAGTTTTGCGTGAAAGTCCGCGTGGGTTCATCACTGTTAAGAACACTGAGAAGCGTGTGGCCGAGCTGCTGCAATGCATTGAACAGATTCTTTGCCAGGACCGCGTTACAAAGACTGTCGCAGTATCCCTAAAGGGGAGGCTGGGTTTTGCTCAGGGGCAGATCTTCGGCAGGACAATGAGGCGGTTGATTAATGAGTTGACCGCTGTTTCACTAGGCCAAGAGCGCGGTGACCCGCTATCCGAGAATGTCAAACGCACTCTCCGTGAGGTAAGTGCAATCTTCAAGGATGCCAGGCCGCGCAAGGTGTCTGCCTTCACCAACGAGGTTTGTTACATTTTCACTGATGCCAGCTTTGAACCGGAGTCTTGCGAAGGTGGAATTGGCGCAGTGCTGGTGTCCCCGCAAGGCACAATAGTCAGCTGGTTTTCTCACATGCTCAGCAAAGAGGAGTGCAGGCCCTTCATGCGACAGGGCCAACGTCAGTGCATATGCGAGTTGGAGGCAGTGACCATATTGGCTGCTATCAGGATGTGGAAACATGTGGCGGCTGCCAGGCATACCATTTTCTTTGTGGACAATGAGGGCTCTCGCTTTGCAATCCTCAGGGGTTGGTCGCAGAATGAGATCTTAGCACAGATTTCCTTCAGAGTAGCCCAAGAAGAGGACCTGGCCTGCATTTATGGCTGGTATGCTAGAGTGCCTACTGCATCCAACATCGCTGACTTCCCGTCAAGAGGCGTGGGGCATGAGTTGCTTCCTGAGTGCTCAAGGCAAGCCTTTGACCCAGCTGCTCTCAAGCTTGAGGCTTCATGAGTGGACAAAGGTTCGCGTGTCTCTCCATGCAGAATGGGGGGAGGAGGAGGAAAGACACAGACAGACTGACGAAACCCCCGTTGCCTTGAGAAAAGTCTCTGCTCAATGGGTTTGTCGGTCGTGTGTTGAGAGCAGTTGTGATGCATGGCACTGATGTGGTTTACCTGAGCGTTCGTGTGCGTGTGTTGTAGGTTTGGCTTTGGCCGTGCGTTTGCGCTTTTGTGTTATTTGTATGTCCCCGGTTGGGGTAAGGATCAAGGCGAGAGTGCGCCTGGCTTTAAGGGAATAAGAACAGGAAACTGTAGGGTTCCCGCGTCGCCTGCTCACACAGCCGGTACAGCTGCTCCTTCGGCAGCAGGGCGCTGAGCTCCTCCACCACGGCGTCCAGCTCGTGCTGGTTGCGCAGCCTCCAACAGCAGAGGAATTGGATGTTCACCCGCACGGCGGCGCTGATGAGCCTCAGCTTCTGCGAGCTCACCCAGGTGCTAATCTGCATGTGCCGGCCCCTGATGAACAGCGTATCCAGGGCGCCGTTGGGTTTGTGGAGCTGAGGCATATCAGCCATATCGTCACAGATTATCAGGACCTGATACAGTTTCTTCATCTCCAACTTCTTGGACGCCTCCGTGATCTTGCGCTGCTGCTGGATGATGCGGCGCAGCGCCGGCTCGTCCCACTCGTCCCAGTACGCTTGCTCCCGTTCGGTGTTCACCCCCAGGTCCTGCTCTATGTACTTCTTGACGGGAATCCAGCCGTCATCGATGTCGATGGACGGGCTAAAGATGTAGATTCTCTCAAACACGCCGCGATACTGCTCCAGAATCAGGCTGATCAGAGTCACGGTTTTGCCCGATTTTGATGGCCCGAGGAAAATGCCCGTGCACGGGACCAGGGGCACCACGGGGTCCGAGGACTGTTTGCTGGTGTATTCAGGCACAGGAAACAGCTTGATCTTCCCCATCCCTTTGTTTCACTTGCCAAATTCGAAGCCGGGAAGCCGGGCGGCGAGTCAGCGCCCTGCTATATAGCAAGGCGCTCACAGAGTTTTCCGGGAGACACCGCAATCCTGCGTTGGCCACAGGATTGAGTGGAGCAATCCTGCGTTGGCCACAGGATTGAGTGGAGCAATCCTGCGTTGGCCACAGGATTGAGTGGAGCAATCCTGCGTTGGCCGCAGGATTGAGTGGAGCAATCCTGCGTTGGCCACAGGATTGAGAACGCGGCGCGGCGGATGCTCCGATGCCGGGCAGGTGGCGCGGCCGGGTGGAGGCTTCTATGCCGGGCAGGTGGCGCGGCAGTGGTCTGCGATGAATGACGAGAATTTCAACAGGGAGAGGCTTCTATGCCGGGCAGGTGGCGCGCCAGGGTGGAGGCTCCAATTATGATCCGTATGACTCGGCGGGCTGGCGCGGCTCCGATGCCGGGCAGGTGCAGGGAGGCTTCGATGCCAGGCTGGCTCCAGGTATATAATAACAAGGCAGCCTGCAGTTGTCCAAGTTCCTTGTCCAAGTTCGGCGGGGGAACTTGGACAAGTGGCTCTGCAAGAGGAAAACACGTGATAAAATTTGTCCAAGTTCCTTGTCCAAGTTCTTGTCCAAGTTCAGGTTCCTCCCCTGGAGGAGAATCCCTAATATTTTCTTCTTCTGGTTGTCTTGTTATTAAAAAGAGGAGCGCCCCGATTCCCGGCGGCCCCTCCCGCCTGGGCCTACGCAGACAATAACAAGGCAGCCAGCAGTTGTCCAAGTTCCTTGTCCAAGTTCGGCGGGGGAACTTGGACAAGTGGCTTTGCAAGAGGAAAACACGTGATAAAATTTGTCCAAGTTCCTTGTCCAAGTTCTTGTCCAAGTTCAGGTTCCTCCCCTGGAGGAGAATCCCTAATATTTTCTTCTTCTGGTTGTCTTGTTATTAAAAAGAGGAGCGCCCCGATTCCAGGCGGCCCCTCCCGCCTGGGCCCACGCAGACAATAACAAGGCAGCCAGCAGTTGTCCAAGTTCCTTGTCCAAGTTCGGCGGGGGAACTTGGACAAGTGGCTTTGCAAGAGGAAAACACGTGATAAAATTTGTCCAAGTTCCTTGTCCAAGTTCTTGTCCAAGTTCAGGTTCCCCCAACAAACTTGGACAGAACTTGGACAACTGCAGGCTGCCTTGTTAGCACCACCTGATGGCGCGAAGACACGCACCAGCCACACCCAGGGAGCAAGACGCCATAGTCTAGTTGGCAAAGGCGCAGCTTCCGGAGGTGAACGGTACGGGGTTCGAGTCCTCCCTGGTTCTTTTGAAGTGCACTAGTGCAATTTGAAGTGAACGCTGCAAAACCTGGATGGTCTGGCTCATGCCGCATCAGCCGAAGCAAGGAGCAAAGGTGCCTTCTCCCCAGTTGATGGTACACTAGTGCAAATTGAAGTGAACGCTGTGATACCTGTATGCCGCGGTTCAGGCGGATGGATTCAAAGCAAGGAGCAAAGGTGCTGCCACGGTTCCAGAATCAGGTGGCTGTCCTTCAAATCGCTTCGGAACCAAATCACCTCGATTCGAGTTTTTTGCAGAAATTGCCGATCTGGCAACCCTAATATTTTCTTCTTCTGGTTGTCTTGTTATTAAAAAGAATAGTATAAGTATCCGAGCAGGAGCGCCCCGATTCCAGGCAGGACGCGATTCCGTGCGCCTCACCCCGGGCGGGAACCCGAACTTGGACAAGAACTTGGACAAGGAACTTGGACAAATTTTATCACGTGTTTTCCTCTTGCAGAGCCACTTGTCCAAGTTCGCCCGGGGAACTTGGACAAGGAACTTGGACAACTGCGGGCTGCCGTGTTACAAGCTCTCTCAGTGTTACGCCCCGATTCCAGGCAGGACCCGATTCCGTGGCCCACCCCGGAAACCCGAACTTGGACAAGAACTTGGACAAGGAACTTGGACAAGTTTTATCACGTGTTTTCCTCTTGCAGAGCCACTTGTCCAAGTTCGCCCGGGGAACTTGGACAAGGAACTTGGACAACTGCGGGCTGCCGTGTTACAAGCTCTCTCAGTATTACGCCCCGATTCCATGCCTCGCCCCGGCGGAAACCCGAACTTGGACAAGAACTTGGACAAGGAACTTGGAAAAATTTTATCACGTGTTTTCCTCTTACAGAGCCACTTGTCCAAGTTCGCCCGGGGAACTTGGACAAGGAACTTGGACAACTGCGGGCTGCCGTGTTACAAGCTCTCTCAGTATTACGCCCCGATTCCAGGCAGGCCCCGATTCCGTGTGCCTCGCCTCTCTCTTTAGAGGGCGTTTCCCAAATGGATTCTATTCTATGCGTGCAGGCGTGTGGCTGCAAAATAATGACCCCTAGATATGCGCCGCAATTTGGCTCCAGGTTGCATTTCAAGCGATGTCAACCTTTGCCAAAGGAAACCCCTTTTCCCTTTTTTTTGGGGACCCCTTTTTTTGGGACCCCTAGCCCTGCAAAGGTTGGCTCGCTTGAAATGCAACCTGGAGCCAAATTGCAAGGTCATTATTTTGCAGCCACACGCCTGCACGCAGCGTTTTAGACTTCGAATCCTTCGCAGGACGAGGTCAAATGCTGGACGGACGAGTGCTGGGAGCCTCTCAGGTAGAATAGAATCCATTTGGGAAACGCCCTCTAAAGAGAGAGGGAGAAGGCCTACTACCTCCACATGAGGAGGCTCTTCCCGAAGATGAGGCTGCTCTTCACGGACACCGACTCCGTGATGGTGCAGATCTTCGAGCTGCACGCCATGGCCGAGGCGAACCTGAACGGCGCCACCCTCTTCGACGTGGCCGGCAAGTCCAAGGACCCCGAGAGGAACCTGAGCGCGCTCTCTGCAGCGGCGCGCGCCAAGGCCATCGAGGTGATGGGCCAGCTGGGCAAGCTCGGCGACGAGACCCCGCCAGGATCCTGGTGGGCACTCATGCAGGCCTTGCTGCGGCCCGTCTTGAGCGTCTCCACGAAGGCCAAAAACCCCTCCGAGTCGTTGATCTGGAGCTCACGGAGCTCTTGCCCACGGCCCGCTCGAACTTGGCCGGGTCCACGTAGGCGTTCGTGTTCCTGAACTTGTCGGGGTTCATGCAGCAGCGGCCGAAGATGGCGTTCTGGGTGAGCTTCACCACCTTCTCGGCGACCACGCTCCCCGCCGTCTTGAGCTGCCTCCGCTCGCTGTGCTTGAGCTCCATGAAGCCCGCCATGAAGGGGCTGCAGGCGAAGCGGTAGGCCCTGTGCAGCCTCCAGACCCTGGCGCCCAGCACGTCCCGCAGGAACTTGAGCCGCTTGCCGTCCACGCCCTCCTCCACGTGCATGCCGAGGAAGGGCACGAGCTTCTCGCAGGGCGACGGGGAGAGGCCGAGGCGCTCCGCCATGTCCGCGGTGTGCGGCCCGTACAGGCCCTTCCCGACCTTCATGCGCGCGGGGGGAGCCCAGTCCAAGTGGTCATGCAGCTCCGGGGGGAAGTCGTA